CCCCCTTGACCTGTCCGTCCTCCCTGGACTGACCTATCCCCTCCCTAACTCCCCACCTACACTCACCTTTACTGGCTCCATCCCCACCTCTTCGACCTGTCTGTTTCCTCTCCACCTATCCTCTCCTCTATCCATCTTCTATCCGCCTCCCACTCTCTCCCTATTTATTTCAGAACCCCCTTCCCCTCCCCCTTTTCTGATGAAGGGTCTAGGCCCGAAACGTCAGCCTTTCTGCTCCTATGATGCTGCTTGGCCTGCTGTGTTCATCCAGCTCTGCACCTTGTTGTCTCTAAAGTAATATAGTTTGCAGCATTACAACCTGCTCCTACATTTGTGGTGACTGTTATTGTGGATTAAACATACAATTGATGTGTACGGCTAACAATAATACTGGCAAAATAGTCTTTCTACATTCATTTCCCAATTATATTGGTTTGTCATTCAACATGACAAATTAGATATTTTTAAAAACATTTTGAGCTTCATTATCGAGCAGACTGTATTGTGCTACAATTTTGAAGATGGGGACAGCAAAACTAGAGACAAATTAACATAGTTCACATATTCTTTTTGTTATAAACATGCATCTTATTGGTAAAACAGACTTTATGATTTAGTTCTACTCATGGCAGATTGCTTGACTACCTTTTATTGGGTAATTCATTCCACATGTTGCTAGTTTGGAAATTTCCTAAGTGGCATAATATCAAATCATAATCCAACCATTAAATAATTATTTCTAAGTTATGAGAGACGAACAACCTCTCTAAGGTACCATACAGATTACAGCTTTTTCATTCTTTCCAGATCAAAGTAAAAGGTCCTAAGTATTGGGAGATAATGATGGATCTCTCTAAAGGACTCACAAGTTTGCAGTGAGTATCTTTGTAAAACAATTCCCTTGTCCATTTGTTGAATGCAGCTATACATGAATACTGTCATCAGGTAATTTATTATCATCCACTTCTTATGGACTCTTTCTTTCAGATCAATTCTGTCAAAAGATGGTTTTCTTTATGTCAAGCTCCGAGCAGGACATCTCTCTTACACTGAAGATCCCAAAGGATTTCGCAGTCTTTTAGCTCAGACATTCACTCACAGAAATCCCGAGTTCCTTTCTATCAAGGTAGAACCTAAAAAGACTGCTCCCTTCTGACCCATTGATTCTAAGAAATGGCTTGTATCTTAGCTTAAGACAAAAATGGGCAGTGGTTCATTTATTTTTTGATTCCATTGTATGAGTTAGATTTTAAAACCTCACTGCTTTTCTTGCAGCCTGAAGCTGTTTCAGCTTTTACTTCTGACCCAGCTTTGCTATCGTTTGCAGAGTACTTCTGCAAACAATCTAAGAAAGAAGGGGTAAGTGTTTCTTTTCGCATTAGTAATAGCTTATATAATCATAATTCTTGTACATATATTTCTTCCTTATCAGGCTGTGTAATCCTGGATCTGTTATGAAGTCTACCCATTTTTTTTGCTCCCAACTCTTATTTCCTACCATAGTGTAGAATATTTGCGTTTAAGCTATAATCAGCAAAATGCTTAGCTGTTGCACTTCATTGTGATGCGGATCAGTATGTGTTTAGCCAATTCAGCCAAAATCTGTTTGGTAGTTAGTGTTGGAAATAGTCAGTTATTTGTCTGAAGTTGCCTTGTTCAAGAATATAGTTGATTGCAAATGCAAAACAAAAATCACTGGCATGAGAGTGATCATGAGTGAATTGGACCTGAAACACTCAATCATTTACTAAACAATTTGATGGGATTATGGTAAGTTTTTTAAAAAGTATACAGATAATGGGAGGACCCTGAACAGCATTGATGTATAAAAGGATCTTGAAGTTCAAGTCCGTAGCTCCCTGAAAGTGGCCATGCAAGTAGATAGGGTGGTGAATGAATTCGTATGGTATGCTTGCCTTTAATTGTCAGGGAACTGAGTACAAAAGTCAGGATGCCATGTTGCAGCTTTATAAGACTTTGGTTAAGCCACACTTAGAGTACTGCATTCAGTTCTGGTCACTGCATTACAGGAAGAATGTGGAGGCTTTGGAGAGGGTGCAGAAGAGGTTTATCAGGATGCTGCCTGGATTAGAGGGCATGAGCTATAAGGAGAGGCTAGAAAAACTCAGGTTGTTTTCTCTGGAGTGGCAGAGGCTGAGGGCAAACTTGATAGAATTGTGTAAAATTGAGATGCACAGACAGGGTTGACAGACAGCATCTTTTTCTCAGAGTTGAAATGTCTTAAGCTTTGGGACATGCATTTAAGGTGAAAGGGGAAAAGCTCAAAGGAGGTGAGAGAGGCAAGTTTTCTACACAGAGTGGTAGGAGTGTGGAACACGCTGCCAGGGCTGGTAGTGGAGGCAGATACAATAGGACCATTTAAGGGACTTTTAGATTAGCACATGAATATGCAAGGAATGGAAGGATATGGACCGAGGACAAGCATAAGGGATTAGTTTCATTCGGTGTCATGTTTGGCTCTACAGTTCTGTGTTCTATATTTGTAGTCTGGGAAATGAATTGGAATGATTTTCCAAATCCACAATTATTTGGTGATGCTTATGCATCTTATTTATCATCCTCTGCTTAACCTGGTGTTTAATGTGGGGCAGTTTTCTTTGGGTGTTTCTGAGCATGTCACTGCAGTACAGTGTTGTTCTCACAGTTGGTTACTGGTATGTAACATGATTTTCAGGATGGAATCGTGTGCCTCCCCTGTGGCAAAAGAGTTAATAAACCAAGTGGTCTCCCTCCACCTTCCCACCCCCACCCCAACAGGTGGGATTTAATGCCCGTTCTAGGCATCTGACCCTGATATGAACTCTGTTCCGAGGGTGGTTCGCCATGCAATGGACACGATGAGCCTTGTGGTTCCCTGGGGTGGCTTCTTGTTCAAAGGTAGAGGGTGCCCGATGAAGGGACTTAGCAAGAGGCAATGTGGAGCTCCAAGTGGCTTTCCACCACATCATCTGCACTAAATCTGCTCTGTAACTAGAGTACAGCGTAATTCTCACAATCTGTTACTGCAATACAATATGATTCTCTCAGCCTGTTACTGCGATACAATATGACTCCTATAATCTGTCTTCAGTACAGTATGATTTTCTTAGTCTGTTACTGCAGTATGATATGAATCTTTGTTACTAGAATGCAGTTTGATTCTCAGTCTGTTGCTGCAATACAGTATGATTCATTCAGTCTGTTACTGGTGTACAGTATATTTCTCAGTCTGTTACTGGCATACAGTATGATTCTCAGCCTCTTACTAGAGTACAGTGATTCCCAGTCTGATCAGAGCTGATGAAGGATCATAGACCTGATTTTGTTTTTTTTTTCTTTGATGACGTGGAGGTGTCCCTGCAAGGCCGGCATTTGTTGCCATTCCTAATCGGCTTACTCGGCCATTTCAGAGAGCAATTAAGAGTCATTCACATTTCTGTGGGTCTAGTGCCACGTGTAGGCCAGAGCAGGTAAGGGCAGTAGATTTCCTTCCCTAAGGGACATTAGTGAACTAGATGGATGTTTACATCAATTGATGATCATTGTCCTGGTCACCATTACTGAAATCAGTTTGTAATTTCAGTTTATTAATTGAATTTAAATTCCTCGACCTGCATTAGACTGGGCCCCTGGATTACAAGTCAGATAACATTATTACTATGCGAACACCCTCCCTGCGGGTTAGCTCCATTTTTATCTCTACAAATTTTGCCTGACTTCCTTGAGTATTTGGAATTTTTCCAGTTTTGATTTTAAGATTGCAGCATCTGAGCAGTGCTGGTTTTTGTATTCCTCCGTTGATTCTGTTTTGCCTTAATGTTCGCCAGTTTTTGTCCCCACCTCCTTCTCCCGAAGGTGTTAACTGCTTGCTGGCATATGATTCCACAGGCAGCTCAGACTCTCCTGGTATCTCCAGGCGCTGTTCACAAGTGCAACTTGATGTAAAGGCATAAAAACCGATTGTTCACAAGAACCAAGCCCTCCCAACGCTCAGTGTTCGCACGTCAAATCTTACAGATGCTGATAAGGGAGTGCAGACTGAGGAGAGTTTTTCTCTGTCGGACACTGCTTCCTTGTTCCCCACCCAATGCAGGGTGCTGACGCCAACGCACTCCAACTGATCTCAGTTATCTCCACACAAAGGAATGAGAATAGAAGTTGGGACTATCTGACTGGTAGTTCTGCTCCTCCCTGAGCTGTACTTAAATGAGTAGTGGTAATTGTAACTTACAATGGCACAAAGGCACTGTGTAATAGTTGGATGAGGCAGCATTAATGAGGTAAAAGTTTCAGGTACTTACCAGACTGGGAACCTTTCGCCTCTGCCATTTGATGTTCCACCACTTCTGTTTTCCGTAGAGGGAAGTGAAAGGCATCATTTGGCTTCGATTTTGCTTCCATTCTCCTTTGAAGTTGGCAATTTTGCTGCCAGAAGCTCTTGAATTCTGTGTAACTTTCTGGAAACTTGGAAATGAGTACGGACGCAGATTTACCATATTAGAGTGGTGATCCTGTACTCACTGCCTGAGGCCTGCAGCCAACTCCAACTACTGCCCAGTCACCTTTGTAATGTCACAGATTGAAAAAATGCACAAGTATACTTTTGACATTTAACTTGGGTTTAAACATCAAGTCTTCTTTCTCTGAATGCATTAGATTTTACTTGTGTTTTAAATTTCTATTAAAGTTAACTGAATGACTCAATCTGAATGAATGTCAAAGTGAATTATCTGCTTTGAATGATTAATACAGAAATGTAGTTTATTGCTGCTTGTTACAATGTACCTTTTGTCATTATTTACATAATTTTGTTTTCATGAAGAAAACTGTTCTATCTTCAGAAACAGGACATACTAGACTTGCTGTCATCCATCCTATATGAATGCGTTACTCAAGAGAAGCCAGAAATGCTCCCTACGTATATGGCCATTGATCAGGTAAAATGGGCTTTTTATGGTCTCTTTGGATCTGTTTACCATTTTGTTCCCTTTCTGTTCCAACCACTTCTCCATGATTTATGCTATGTTCACATGAAGAGACCAGCATGAAACCCAGTTCCCAGGTTTCCTGCTTGTTTTACTTGGAACCATCAAGTTAATAAAACTTAAAAGTTTCTCAACTCTTCACTTTGTACCATTTCTTTCTCTCTGTCCTGTGCTGTCCACATAGCTCTTCTACTTGTAACTACTTGTGCATTTATTCACTATTTACTTCAACAATCCGATTGCTTCAGATAGTCCTTGCTAGACCATTTCATACTCTGTGTCTTTCCGCAATCATTTGATGAGCATTTTAAATTGGTCAACCCCTTGTCAATGACTACCCTAGTACGCAGTAGTTTTTGCTAACTGTCCAAATCAAAAATTCTTGGGCTATGTCTGATCAAGTAAAATCAGTCCCAGAATATCAAATCTCTCCTGTTGTTTCTGTGCTGTGTGTTCTTATTATGGTCTAATCTACTTCATATAATGGGATGCCCAAACCCTGCACTATTGTGTGGCCAAAGTACTGGCAGTGTCCTCTGGGATTTATCCAACTGAAGATGTTACCCTGATCAATTTCTTCCAACCTTTAGGGAACAGGGCCGTCTTGTGCCTTTGTGTTAAGACTCATGCTGTTAAGGATCACTTTTATGTTGTCAACCAGTGTTGTTCTAGGTCTATGAAAAGGTCTCTTCCATATTGGTGATGATTACTTTGGTAGGATCAGGTTCGGATGCATGAGATGTCCATACCAGAGGAGTTGCTAACACACAGTCACCCCCGGCATTGCCTTTTGCGAGTTTATCGTTGTCTTTTTAGCACTTGCGCAGACTGCCTTGATGATTGAAAGATCCTACATTGTATTGATCATCTTGTGGCTTATTTGGAATTTCTGGAATTTATGAATATTAGCCAATAGATTGCTGTTTACCCATACCTTTCAGTGATAATCTTTTGAACTTGTTCTCCCATTTCTTCTGTTTCCTCCACAATGTGCCTGTCCTTACATTAAGTTGAATATGTAACCAGTTCCTGCAGGAGAGAACCTCTCCCACTTTTTGGTGCTCAGCTTCTACTGAGTGTTTCCCACAATGTACCGCAACCTTACAAGATTTCAGCCATGATTCCAGCGGCTACTTTCCAATGTCTCAGTGCATTGGATCTGCAGAGCACGCAGTCTGCCATATGTAGCTTTAGAACAGTAGTGATCCAGATTTAATCTGAATGCCACTTATAACTCAAACTCTCTTTTCAGCTAGTGGCCATTGCAGAGATGTCTCTGGGAAGTGACTTTGAGCAGATATTCCTGCAGTCTTTCTGCTGGGACTCCAAAGGCACTCACATAATAAATGCAGTTAAGAATGGGGCTATCCCAGTGTCTGTCGCACATTTGCAATGGTTTTGTTTGCACCACATGAAACATACAAATTTTAAAGTGCAGTCCAGATGGAAGAAAAGATGTTCAGTCACTAAAATATTTAACAATAAGCTTAACTGCATTTTCCCAAGTAAATATTTAGAAACATATCTCCAAATAAAATTTAAAAATTTGTATTGCATTGTCATCCAACTCGGAGCAAAAAAGACTAAACAGTTTGGTACTGTTTACTTTTCTTGTTTCAGGCTGTGAGAAGGTTAGAACGGAAGGAGATGACTGAAACCTTTGAGCTTTGCCAGATCAAATTAGTGCAGCAGTTCTACAACTCTGTCTGTCTCCAGGATAAGTTCAAAAACAGCACCAGTGCACTCCTCATCAACTCCGAGTTTCTTCTGGCCATGAAAAGCATGTTAGACAAAACTCTGGATCAATGGCTACATGGTAAACACTTGCTGCATTTTGGTTTTTGGTTTTTGCATATTAATAACCTCTCAGCCATTTGGTTTCGGGGGCACGTGATTTTAGAGTTGAACTTCAACTAAAAAAAGAAAATGAAAATAGTGCCATGGATCTCAGTTTTGAAAGAAAATTGGATAGAAGGGAGGTATTATTGTTCTGTATAAGAAAGAAATTGATGATCTATTTATGCGGCTGGTACTTGGTTTCATTTGTTCTTGGGTTTTGAGCATTGCTGAGAAGGCCATAATTTATTGACTATCTGTAACTGACTTTGAGAGGATGGTTGTAAGTTTCTTAAACCGCTGAAGCCTGTGAATAACGTGTACACCCATATTGCCCTAAGGGAGGAAGTTCCAGGATTTTGTGGCAGTGAAGAAACAGCAATATAATTGCAAGTCAGGTTGATGTGGAGCTTACAATTGGTGTTCCCATGTGTCTACTGCCCTTGTTCTTTAAGATGATAGATGTGGTATGGAATGTACTGTCAAATTTGGCAAGTAGTTTTGGTGTATCTTGTAGGTGATAGAAGGACACATTCTTACAGACTGCTGTTTGGTTGTTTTGGGATAGCACTGGCCAGGCAGTGATGTTAATTGCCTCAACTTGATACTGAGCAAGTTGAATGCAGGCATGCAATAATTGGCTCCAAAAGACTTAGGTTGAGGTGGTAGGATAGGAACCATTTTTTGATCCTCTTTTTATAGAGTCAAAGAGATGTACAGCGTGGAAACAGACCCTTTGGTCAAACTTGTCCATGCCAGCCAGATAATCTAAACTGATTAAGTCCTATTCGCAAGCATTTGGCCCATATCCCTCTAAATCCTTCCGATTCGTATACCCATCCAGATGCCTTTTAAATATTGTAGTTGTACCAGCCTCCACCACTTCCTCTAGCAGCTCATTCCATACATGTGCCACCCTCTGTGAAAAAGTTTGTCCCTTAGGCCCCATTAAATATTTCCCCTCTCACCTTAAATCTATGCCCCCTAGTTTTGGACTCACCTACCCTGGAGAAAAGACCTTGGCTATTCACCCTATCCATGCCGCTCATGATTTTATAAACGTCTATAAGGTCTCCCCTCAGCCTCCAATGCTCCAGGAAAAATGTCCTCAGCCTATTCACCTTCTCCCTATAACTCAAACCCTCGAACCCTGGCAACATCCTTGTAAATCTTTTCTGAACCCTTTCAAGTTTCACAACGTCCTTCTATAGAATGGAGACCAGAATTGAGTGCAGTTTTCCAAAAGTGACCTAACCAGAATCCTGTACAGCTGCGGTATGTCATTCCAGCTCCTATACTCAATGCATTGACCATAAAGGCAAGTGTACAAAACACCTTCTTCACTGTCCTGTCTACCTGCGAATCTACTTTCAATGAACTATGAACCTGCACCCCAAGGTCTCTTGGTTCAGCAACACTCCCCAAGACCTTACCATTAAGTGTATAAGTCCTGCCCTGATTTGCTTGAACAAAAGGCAGTGCCTCACATTTATCTAAATTAAACTCTCTCTGCCACTCCTCGACCCATCAGCCCATTGGATCAAGGTTCCATTGTCTCTGAGATAACTTTATTTGCTGTCCACTACACCACCATTTTTGGTGTCATCTGCAAACCTCTTAACCGTAACTCCTATTATTTGCATCCAAATCATTTATATCAATTGCAAAAAGCAGTGGACCCAGCACCAATCCTTGCGGCACACTGCTGGTCACAGACCTCCAATCCAAAAAACAACCCTGCACGATCACCCTCTGTCTCCTACCTTCGAGGCAATTTTATATCCAGATGGCTAGCTCTCCCTGTGTTCCATGTGATCTAACCTTACTAACCAATCTGCCATGCGGAACCTTGTCGAACGTCTTGCTGAATTCCATATAGACAACATCCACCACTCTGCCTTCATCGGTCTTCTTGCTCACTTCTTCAAAAAAACTCAATCAAGTTAGTGACACATGATTTCCCACGCTCAAAGCCATGTTGATTATCCTGAATCAGTCATTGCCTTCCCAAAAACATGTATATCCTGTCCCTCAGTATTCCCTCCAACAGCTTACCCACCACTGACAACAGGCTCACTTGTCTAAGTTCCCTGACATTTCCTTACCACCTTTCTTAAATAATCGCGTCATTATTAGCCAACCTCCAGAGGTCCGGCACCTTACGTAGCTATCAATTATACAAATATCTCAGCAAGGGGCCCAGAAATCACTTCCCTAGGTTCCCACAGAGTTCTCGGGTACACCTGACCAGGTCCTAGAGATTTAATTGCCTTAGTGTTTTAAGACATCCAGCACCACGTCCTCTATAATATGGACACATGTCAAGTGTCTTTTCCTAATCATTATTCCCAAAGTCCTCAGTCAAAGGTCATATCTCCCTATTGAGAATAAAATCCCTTGATTTAAAAGGTAGTCTGCAGTTTTGAAGATGCTATATTCAACTCAAAACATTAACTTTTTCTCTCTTCATGAGTGCTGTCCAACCTGCTGAGTATTTGCAGTGCTTTCAGTTTTCATCTCAGACTTCCTTTCACCATCCACAGGATTTTGCTTTGACTTTTAAGATGCTTAGTTTCTCTCAACAGATTGCAGTCCAATTAAAAACTGGAGGGTGTCACTTTTCAAAATCCTTTCTCTGCTAAATTATCTGCTAAATTTTTCAGCATAGTGACAAGGGTTATGCTACAATTTGCAAGGTTGTTCCCTGGGCTATGGGCAAATTGAGAAGAATGTTTTAAAAATCACATGCAAGATGCTTGGCTTAACTAGCAGAGGCATTGAGTGTAACAGCAAGAAAATTAAGTTAATGTTTATAAATCAATTGTTAAGCCCCAGTGGAGTATTGCTTTCAAGTAAAAGCATAAGATATAAATTACAAGTAGGCCATTTTGCTTTTCTGGTCCACTGCCCATTCAATAAGATCATGACTGATCTATCTCAAATCCACCTTCCTGTATTACCTTTAATTTGTTTAGTACTTAAAAATCGTTACCTTAAATAAGAATTTGCAGCCTTTGAAGAGAATTTTTTAAATTCAGTTGTCGGATGTGGGGGTCGCTGACTGGGCCAGTATTTGTTGCCCGTCCCTAGTTGCCCTTGAGAAGGTGGTGGTGAGCTGGCTTCTTGAACAGCTGCAGACCACCTGCTGTGGGTTGACCCACACTGCCACTTGGGAAGGAATTCCAGGATTTTGATCCAGCAACAATGAAGGAACGGCGATCTAATTCCAAGTCAGGTGAGGAACTCTCCTCCTCTTGGTCCGGAATGGCCGAACCTTTATTGTGAGACTGTGACCTTGTGTTTTACGTTCATTCCCCAGTGAGGGGAAACATTTTCTCAGTGTTTACCCTGTCAAGCCTGTTAACAATTTTATTTGTTTGATTCACATAATGTCTTACTCTTTTGAACTCCAGGGGATAGAAGCTTAATTTGCTCATTCTCTCCTCATTGGGCAGTTTCCTCATTCCAAGAGCCAGTGTGATGAACCTTCACTGCAGTCCCCCTACAGCAAGTCTGTCTTTCCTTCCTTTGGTCAGGAGACCAAAACTGCAAATAGGTCTCCAAATCTCACATAGTAATGCCCTGTAATTGAAATAACACTTCTTTATTCTTGCACTCCCAACCCTTTGTAGTAATGGCAAACATACCATTGGCCTTTCTACAGCTTGATGCTATACCTGCATATTAATTTTCTGTGATCCGTGAGCAAGAACAGGCTTATTCATCTGAATGTAAGCATTTCCCTGTCTCACCATGCAAGAAATATTCTGCTTTGTTTTTATTTTTCTTGCCAAAGTGGATAACTTCACTGTTCATCCCATTGTATTTGTCACGAGCACCAGGCGTGGTTTGTGAACTGTAGATTAATATAGTTTATCTAGTTCCCTTTTTAATTTGAAATGACTCAAATTAAAGGCCGGCAGTAAACAAACTTTGGTTTACATAAGTTAAAAGGTTAGTTTATTGTAAACTATTACTGAAGGTTCCTTGGTGATAAACTTAAACTTAACAAGAAATTGCAGATGCCATGATTAAAACAAGTGTAGATAAGATAACAGAATAGTTCAAAGAAGCAAGTCTCACTGCTTCATTGTTGTCTCCCATTTGGGTCTGTTGCTGAAGCAATAGATTGAGCAGCTACAATAGCTTTTCTAAATGGTGTTTTCTGATACGCAAAGACCAGCAGGTTTTTATATTTGGGATGGAGATAGGTTCCTTCTTCTTCACTAGTTTCTTTGATTTTGAAACTTTCACACTGCCTGACATTTCTTCAACCGGTCGGTATCCCTCTAGCTCTTTGTAACCGGGCATCTTGATACGGTTCAAAGCTCAAAATGGTGCTCTATTAATTTTGAAGAATCAAAGGTTGAGCCAATTGTATGCCACACCGAGGAAGTTCATCCTTCTATCAAAATTCTTTCTCTCTGAAGCTCGAATTCTCCCACCAGCATTGTCTGCTTGCAAACTCCTGGTGTTTGAAAAATCTTTACACCTTTACATCTTTATATCTTTACACCCCTGGGCATGTCTCTCTGCCTTCCATTTAGAGCTAGTAGCTACATAGGGAAGTGATTTGTAGCAGATGTTTTATTTTAGTCTTCTGTATTTGCTTAAAGTTAGATTAGTTTAATGATAAACATCTAGATGTCATGATGCCATTGTACATGATGCATTCCATCAATCATGTCTTTGTCTCTTCATTCTCCCTTGCAGTCTTTTTGCATCCTGTTCACTGTTTACTTTGCCCTTGAACTTTGTATCATCAGCAGGTTGTATATTTTACACTCAGTTCCCTCATTGATTATTGTCATAGATTGGAAACAGCTGAGGCCCAAGCACTGATTCCTTCCCTACCCAAACAGTCACAGCCTGCAAACCTGAAAATGTCCTGCTTATTCCAACTCTGTTTTCTGTCCATTGATGAATCTTCAATACATATATACACTATTACCTACCAATCCTAGTGTTTGCAGTAACCTC